AAGGTGAAAAATGGGTGGCAACATTTCAACATTTCCAACATTTCTAGCCGAGATCACCATACAGTGTACATATGAATGCACTTGACTTCTAACTGCAGGGTGCATATCAAATTATTTTGGGGCTTTTAAAAACGTGGAAGGCATTTCTTGCAATAACTGCCATTTACTCTCAGGACACTGACCCCTCACATTTTAGCTATTGCCAACATCTTAAGAACTTTCAAACCATAGCACAATCTGTGATGCTGAGTGTATATGATCTGGCATCAGAATATTCTGTCAGATTTCAGGATATCCAACATTTTGGCACATTTTCTTTTCTGACTAAACCAGGCAGCTTTGATACCAGCAATTTTTGATTTCTCAATGTTTCAGTGGATGGGTGTTGAGGATTTTGAAATGCACCACATTTCAAATTAGCTCAAAGTTTGATATCAACTTGATTTGTATTTTTTGGAACTTCAACAGCTTTTTAACAAAACCACCCAGATATGTCAAACTTCTTGCATTTTGTTGAGGGTGATTTGAAAATTCTCACAACTTTCACTTTATCATTTAAACACCTATTTATTTTTGAGACATGATGTTTCAGATGTTAATAACTTTGCAAGGAAAATACACAAAAGTTTCAAACCACAGATGTTTAAAAGATCACGGTCTTGGAATTTAGGCAGCATTGGGATTAACATACAGTCATATGCAAATGTTTGGGCACCCCTGGCCAAATGACATGTTTTGTTGATTTTCCAAGTGAAAAGAAGTTAACGCAACCTCTGCAGCGGACAGACAAACTTAACATGTTTCTGCAAATTTTAATGGACAGTTACTTTTTATTTGCTGAATTTAACAGATAGAAAAAAATAAGACAGTAAATGTGGCATGTGCAAACGTTTGGGCACTCTGTCAGTCAGTACTTAGTTAACACCCCCTTTGGCAGAAATCACAGCCTCCAAACGTTTCTTGTAGCCAGCTAACAGTCTTTCTATTCTTGCTTTAGGAATTTTTCCCCCCCACACTCTTCCTTGCAGAACACTTCTAGTAGTAGAATGGATTCTACCAAGTATAACAAATTTCAGAAGCTAATGTTCCAGAGTCAGTGAATAAACTGAAGCTGATAAGAGGTTGGATATTACAACAAGACAATGAATGATCCAAAACATACCTCAAAATCAACCATGAACTACTTCAAGAAACGAAAGATTAAGGTTTTGGAATGGCCTTCACAAGCCACAGACTTAAATATTATTGAAGATCTGTGGGTAGATCTCAGACATGCAGTGCATGCAAGACAACCTAAGAATATTTCTGAACTAGAAGCGTTTTGCAAGTGGGAAAAAAATCCTAAAACAAGAATAGAAAGACGGTTAGCTGGTTACAAGAAACGTTTGGAGGCTATGATTTCTGCCAAAGTGGGTGATACTAAATACTGACTGATAGGGTGGCCAAACTTTTGCACATGCCACATTTACTGTTTTATTTTTTTCAATCTGTTCAATTCAGAAAATAAATAGTAACTGTGCATTAAAATCTGCAGAAATATGTCAAGGTTGTGTTAACTTCCATTCACATAGAAAATCAACAAAATGTGTAATTTGGCCGGGGGTGCCCAAACCTTTGCATACAACTGTAATTCTGTGAACAGGTATTCTCACACATTAAGTCAGTTCACTCAATGGTAAGACATGCATATTAATTTAAGATATTATACATTATTTTAAGTTGGGCTATTCTTGACACTGTAAAAGTATCATGCAAATCCATAACAGGTGCATGAACTAGCTCTAGGCACACCCCTTCTGAAAGGCTGCCAAACCCTGAGTAATCAAATAGCTTTTAGTAAGAGTTTGCCAATGCAAAAGAAACCACTTTGGTTTAGTGCAGAGGCTGGTAGCAGGGAGTGGGGTGGCACAGACAAGGTTCTCTGCTGTGTATATTAAGAGGGCCTAAATTTATGACAGCTAGCTGATGGAGAAATATTATATTAACTGAACTGAGAGGTGTCAGCATATTGACCAGAGTCCCATCCTGGGCTGCATCCATCCTGGGCTGCACTGACAATGAGTAAGGGCCAAACTTGGCGAGACCACTAATATTTCTAGTGAAATAGATGTTTTGACTAAAGTCAGTAGACATTTAGAGAGAAGATGAATGCATTTACACATTTGCAAAACATTTAATAAGGAGATCTTTCACAGGCTATAAAAACACTGCTTTTTAGTGTTTTTTAAAATCTCAAACATTTCCACTGTTTCTCTTCACAGGTGAAGTATGGAGAATGTTAAATCCTCTTTCAAACACCTTGACTTACTCTTTTTATACCAAAACACTGCTCAGATGCACTAGAAATCCAGAATGCTCAGCTGAAAAGATGTACAGTAGTTGTAAACTTTTGTCAGCATCATTGACATATCAGGAGAAAAAATAAAACATTTGATAAACGGATACATTAAAACAACCTTACCTTAAATAAAGGAAGAGAAATGAGTATATAAAGAAAAACCAGATGAACTGAGAGTGACTTGAGGGCATCCCATATTCAGTAGTTAGTGTGGTATGAGCTCCTGTGATGACAGAAATAAAGAACAAGAAAGACAAAAATGGAAAAGAGGGCAGGATATTTTTTAAGGCTAAGGTGGATCCCCGTACGAAATCATAGCACACTGACACAGAAACACCCTTTCTCACTAATAGTTTAACCACTCAAATGGGCTATTTTAAACAGAACTGAAAAATGTAAGGACTATGTAAAGAGTTTTAATGTACTGGCTTGATTCAAAAAGTGTCCTTTCTCCTTTAAGGAAATGTTGGAACACTTTTAAAGATGCAGAAAAACATTTTAAAGTTTCTTTTTGGTCTCCAGGGTGCATTTAAATATCTAAAAGGCTCCCAGGACCACTATGATTCAATCAAAATACATTCAAAACAGGGCTCAACAAAATGTGTTACTTCACTATTTCCGGTGCTGTTCAACATATTCTATCAGACAAGGATTCCAGATGATCTTAATAGATAAGATTCTGTTAGATGGGGATAAATACGACACCAATCAATTTCACGGCTTAGTTTCAGCACTGAACTGGTAAGACACTGTCATGATCACAGTGTCAAGCTCAAAAACAATCATCTCGGAGAGGACACCCAGGCATTGAGGAGCACCCCTGAGCTTAAGCAGGTCGCAGGGGTAACTGGATGGGCTACAATGTGTAAGGCAGAGTGGGAAATTAAACCAAGGCTATATTTATGTCAGGAAGTTAGGTCAGGGGATCAAGGGAGTTAGGGGTTGATCACTCTCCTGAACTTTTATTTCCAAATACCACATTTTTATTTGTCCAAAACATTGTTCTGCATCTCGTCCTTCGGATGAGACGTAAAACGGAGGTCCTTACTCTCTGTGGTCATTAAAAATCCCAGTGTGTTTCTCGAAAAGAGTAGGGGTGTAACCCCGGCGTCCTGGCCAAATTTCCCAACGGCCCTTACCAATCATGGCCTCCTAATAATCCCCATCTATGAATTGGTTTCATTACTCTGCTCTCCTCCCCGCTGCTAGCTGATGTGTGGTGAGCGTTCTGGCGCACTATGGCTGCCGTCGCATCATCCAGGTGGATGCTGCACATTGGTGGTGGTGGAGGGGAGTCCCCATTACCTGTAAAGCGCTTTGAGTGGAGTGTCCAGAAAAGCGCTATATAAGTGTAAGCAATTATTATTATGACTTTTCTGGTGCTGCCGCCACACGGCCCACTCTAAGAATATTACAATGTCAGATACCGCTGCTGTGACTTGGTCATAAGAATACTGTTGGCTTTGACTGCATCTGTGCAGCCTGGCTAAGTCAAGCCATATCCAACAATACTACCTCCCTCCAAACGCACAGCATGACAGGCTCCTCCATACCTTCACAGGGCCGCGGCTCCCTGAATATGTGCTTCAATACCCAGTTGACTCCCTCGTTGAGCACCAGCCCTCCAAAAAACGAAATCTGGGGAAAAAAAAAGCACAGACACACACAATGCACTGTTATTACAATAAGGAAGCTTGAGTTTCCTGGGGAAAACTGCCCTCTTTCAGAGCGGAATTAGAATAGGCTGAACGCAAACAATAAACAGCACAAAAAGAACATAATAGCAAACAGAACAATCCAGCAAGGAGAAAAAAAAAATCTTTGGTTAATTCAAATCTTTGTACACTGTTTAGAAATATGCCCAAGAGGTGAGCTCTGCATATGAATGTTCAGCAGAACAACTGATTAGGCATTTATGGTTGCATTTCTGCAGAACGGCTTTATGGTTTGTGAACACTGACTACATGTGTTCGGCCTCAACAACAAAGGAACACCTCCTGTTCAGGCTGTGCTGTTAATTTCCCTAGACATCAATTCACCAGTTCCCAGTCTCACCTTGTGATCGCTCAGATGGAAAGTGAGGCGAGAGACATGGCTCACTGATCACAATCCTGTGATCAGTGCATTTGCAGTGATTATATAACTGGCTCACCAATGTATCGATCACAGGTGTCCAATCCCAGTCCTTTAGGGCCAGTGTCTTTAAGAGTCGAGTTGAATTGAGCACCTAAAGACCTAAATCAGCTCATTACTGGTTTAATGAGTCACATGTCCATCGCTACTCAAGGCGAAGCTGAATTGACTTACTGTGTGCAGCTCACGCTTAAAGACGATGAGTGTCACAAAGCTCACTAGGATGAAGATTGGCAAGAGACTGGAGTAGGCCAGAAGCTCTCCTGTTAGATCACCTTAAAAGCAACAACAAATGACATCAGGAAAGAGTTCATGTTTTTCTAACGATTGGTCTTACCGGCTGTGGAAAACAACAGAATCCTCACATCTGAGGCAAGAAAATTCACTCTTTCTGCATCCAGTGTGCAAAAAGATCATCTTAAATACATCAACAGTAAAATGCAACACATTTTCAGTTCTGGTTTAAATTTCTGACACAACATACTGAAATCATGTTTTTAAGTGTGATATTGTCTACCTACAGGTAAAACAGATATTCAGAGAAAGCTTTAACATTATAAGTCCCTTATAGCTGTTTTTGCTAATCATTATCAAAGTACTAAAAATTAAGGCTGCTACAGCACACACAATCTTAAACAATTCCTATGACCTCATACAAATATATGACTTTGACATACACATCTTTTTCACACTGGCAGCAATTACAAATTTCTGAAGGGGGTTGACAGGGAATCTGTAATCCCTTTCACACTATGAAGGGGAAACATACATTGCTGTAGCAAGCTTTGAATATATTCCTGAGGTTAAGGGGCTAACCCACTAATATCATTTACATAAAGTTAGCAATTTCAGCAACCTAGTGACATTTTCTGTGCTTTCATTTTACCTCCTTCTTGTATTAAACAACCTTTCAAATATCAAGCCAGGTCATAAGAAAACTCACACATGAGCTACTTTGAATACAATAACACGTAAAAATAAATCATTCTTCGGTATGTCGTGGTTTTCATAAATGATTTATTGACCGGCGACTCTGTCAGAGTAAAGTGTGCATACTTCACCCAAATGTTTAAACGATTATCTACTGACTAGGCGCAGGTGTGTTTTCCTGTGGTAAATATAAACTTGTCTTAAACAGACATACAGTCTGAGCATATAGGTAAACCATAAACATGTGAAAACAACCTTAAGCAAAAGAAATAAAGCGTAATTGTGAGACTCTGCCATTCTGTCAGTGATTTTTCGGGACCATTAGGAACTGCAAAAAGTACAGTGTTAGCGGATAATGGCTTACTTATTTGGATAAGTCGTCAGGGCGATTGGCTGTATACGCACTGCCTTGACAGAGTTTACAATAGGCATTTTAAGCGTCTTAATTTTAATGTCTATATAAACTGGAGAACCCAATTATTGTACAGTTTTGAGAAACTGCGCATGCGGAACCGGCACACTATTTGGCAGTCGGTGTGTTACGTACGCTAACAACGTCTAATAGCCTCTCCACAGAATGGCTCACTATTTAGCAGTTACCCTCGGCCGTCCATTCAGTAGAAGGAATTCCAAAACATCATCTGCCCGAATACAATTTTAAAACTACTTAAGACTACAGATACGCGAACTAACAATAGAAATGTATGCAACTTCTTTACCTGAGGGATACTCGACATGGGTAAGAGAAACCGACTGCCACCGAGGTGGTACAGAGCACTCTTCTGCCGCCGCCATCTTACCCGGATACCGGGCACTAACAGCTGACCAATCAAAGTGCAACGCCCAAATACCTCCAGCCAATCAAAAAATGGAATGGAGTTTTATTTCTCGAAAGTGGGCCAGTGAGAGTGAAGAAGCTGAAAGCCTGTCAGGGGAAACAACCACCCAATTACATATGCGAGAGGTAAAATATTTTCTCCAATCAGAACACGAGTATCACCGGCGAATAAAATGTAGCCAATAAGAAATAGAACGGGGAATAAGCCTGGTTCTATTATCTATTATGCGAATATATTAATTGAATGAGGAATTTAATTTTAGACCGTCCTTCACTGGTCTTGTTACGTTTTATGTATTTACCGTTATGCCGCTACTATGTACTCAAAGCCAGGAATCTCTTTTCATATTTAACTTCAGTCAAGCGGTTGAGGTAGATTACACATCTCTCAAGGAAGTTCTCTCAATTTTAAATAACATCTGCATAAACTGGATAACCTAAATCGTATTACAGAAATAAAATAACTCTAAATGCAAAAAAAACAAAACAGTAATTCTACAGAACAGTTGTGCAGTTTAATACAGGCTATATATATATTTTTCCCATAAGGAAACAGACTATAAATGAAAGCTTTATGAATCACCTGAAAGAGGCATTATCTTCGAGACATTAATGTGAAAATCAATTCATCATAATGTAGAATATTCCAGTTCAGTGTACAATTTCATATGCAGAAAACTAAATTGGTAACAATTGGACCGCGCTCCCCCTGCGGTCCATGTGGGTCCTAATGCCCCAGTATAGTGACGGGGACACTATACTGTAAACAGGCGCCATCCTTCGGATGAGACGGAAAACTGAGGTCCGGACTATCTGTGGTCATGAAAAATCCCGGGTAATTTCTCGAAAAGAGTAGGGGTGTAACCCCGGCGTCCTGGCCAAATTTCCCATTGGCCCTTACCAATCATGGCCGCCTAATAATCCCCACCTATGAATTGGCTTCATCACTCTGCTCTCCTCCCCACTGATAGCTGATGTGTGGGGAGCGTTCTGGCGCACTATGGGTGCCGTGGCATCATCCAGGTGGGGCTGCACATTGGTGGTGGTGGAGGGGAGACCCCATTACCTGTAAAGCGCTTTGAGTGGAGTGTCCAGAAAAGCGCTATACAAGTGTAAGCAATTATGAATTATTATTATTATTAACAATGATAATAATGGTTTTGGTTGAAAAAATGTTTATCATCATGAATCCTTAATTACTAACATGGTCCAACACACATCTTGAAAATTGTGGATTATTTCAGGGCTCCAATAATGTCTATAACAGCCACCCTATGGCTACTGAACACCAGCTTTTCACCGTTCTCTGTTCAAGTACAGTACTATACTTGCTTTTCTTTTTCCTCAGACATGCCAGTATTCCTTCTGGATTCGCGTGGTGTTTGGTTATCTCCGCAATCCTACGGTACGTTTGAGGGGTGTGCTGAACTTGTTTGCTACTAGTGAACTTGGCTACACCATGCAATTCTGTTAGATCATATCGGTACCTCTGATGATACAACGATAACATAAACAAGATCATTTATATGTCAATAGGCGACTGTGACTAATCAATCTGCAGTATTAAAGTGTCTGTGCACTGGCAGAGACCAGTTGGGGTAAGACACCTGCACATATAATTAAACTGTTGAGCTCAAACTGCGCTCCTGCAGGGGTAAGTATCGGCTGAGCACCGTGGAAGCCCTGGATTTTATCATCTTTTGAACAAAACTAAGAAGCGTCTGTTTAAGACCGTGTTTTAGAGAGTACACATCTTCAGGGATTTTCAGAGGGACAGGAGATCATTGTAAAACCACCGCGCTCCAAACCTTGATAACCTTGCCCACAAAAACGACCAAAACACGTTGGAATTATTGGTACATTTTATTGGAACTTTCATAACGCAACAAAAACCGATATCAAAACAGTGCACGAAGAAAGAGGAGAAGGAAAATGGCACAACTTTGCACATTAAATGAGATGTAAAACTAACACGAAAGGCACGGAATAAAAGTAGAGAAAAAAATTGTGTGTCACCTAAAATGACCTTAATTGGAAAGGCGCTAACTAGTGCAGTCTTATGGAACCAACATAACTAGGACCGGATTAGACCAAACGCACCAGGCAGTTCAAATGCATTTCTGAGCCTTACAGACAATACTGCACACTATCATATTTGCATACTTTCCATAGTTTTGGAAACATATAAATAGTCAAGGATAAAGCAAGAAGCTGAGCTAGCAATACACGAAAGACAGTCTTTACCACTTTGTGTCTGACTTTCGTTACCATTAAGATCTGCCATATTTCTATTGTCATCGCCTAAGATACTTTACACTGGGAATTCTTTCCAGTTGTAACACAGGCGTAAAGGCCATGCAAGTCCATAAAGAGCTGAACATTTCACAACTTGTCTCGTCTTGTTTACATAAATTAACTATGGTTTCCGTGCACTTTGCAACAGCAATTACGGAACAGTTGCTTATGTTGCAGCGAAAGTGTTCCGTATAAGATGAGGAAAATTATAGGTCAAATCACTTTTCCTTTATAACAGAACAGTTAAGGTATGTGACCTGTGCATGACTGGCAGAAGGAGCAAAGAAAGATTTGTGCAGACAGGATTAATGATTTTCAGTCTGTGCAGAAAGAATGATTTAAAAGCTACATTACCTTAAAATGAAATATATTTGCACTATACTCTGTGCTTTTCATTGAGCATTCTTACCCAAGGATTCATAATTATAAAATGTTATTTGAACACCTTTTCCCTCATTTGCATTTTTCATATTTAACACCTATACCCTTAAACTCTTACACCGAGTCTGGCTGTTTTTCTGCATTACACATAACCTGATTTGAAGTTTGATTTAAAGAGCCACTCATAGACAGTAACGGGGATGGCAATATTCAATCCATAAGATTCTCTCTTATTTCAAAGACCTTTTTAACTACAGTACACTCAATTCTAAAAATCACATGAATGCTTAAATAAATCCCAGGCCCATCCTGACAACAGATAAAATACATTCACCAGGGGATGTACAGTAAATTGAACTTCATGCAGGAATTATGCAAACAGCAGAAAAATCTAAAGACAAAAAAATGATTTTTTGAACATAGTTTTCAAATCATCTTTGAAGAAGTCAGAATGTCTCAGAGGCTGTGTTGTGGACTGTTTAACATTGGGCTTAACAAAGAAATGATTAGATGAGAGGGCAGGTCAATAAGTTCATAAGAAAAGATATTTAATCTTAGCATTTGGCTCCTTTCAAAATGTAGTGAGACACAGATGCTACACCAAAAAATACATTAACAGTTAGAAATAAGAGGAGGCTCATCTAGGTCACTTTTTGTTCCTCTTGAACAGCTGGTAGATGATGATGTCATCGCAAACTTCCCAGTTAAAAATCTAGGGGTGTCGCATAGAAACTGGCGAGATGGCAGCAAGGCCAAAGTCCCTGCAAGCTGGCGGCTGTGAAACTTCAGTTTTCAGGTGCAACACCAATAGAATGGAATCAAGTCGCTGGGATCTTGTCAGCTTTTATATTCCTTGATTTACAGGTGATACTTATCACTGAATCTCAGTGACGGAACAAGAGTTCTCATAGTGAAAGCTGCAAGGTGTTCCCATTACCATAGAAGTTACACTCATCCTTCAATGGACAAGATCATAGTGCCCCCTTTCAGGAGTCAAGAAGGAATTTCTGATGCTGACTAATACCGGGATGTATAATCTAATTCAGTGGAAAGGTCTGGACAAGTTATCCAAGGACAAGAGGAGACAGCGTTACACAGTACAAGTCACTGGCCCTGTGCACAAGATCCATGTTGCCCAGGATGCCATTTGTGAATGCAGACTTCCGGTAGCTATGTAATGTCCATACCTGGTCCTAAGCGATTCCTGTTTCAAAGCTTGAAGGCTCACCTTCAAGGTGTGAGGTTTACAGACAATGAAAGCCTGAAGGCATTCAAAGAGGTCAGTTGAGAGAGGCATCCTGAAGAGTTCTATTTTGCTGCTATAGGCATGTATCTTACAGTATAAAAAAGCAAGCCAAGTGTATTGTGATTATAGGAAACTACACTGAGAAGTGATATTAAAACTGTACCTATAACCATTTTAAATACTTAATTCTCAGAACTTACAGACCCTTTCTCATTAGTTTAGCAGCACACATTAGGTATCCCTCATTATTTCAATTTTTGAGCTTATTTGTATGTCTTGTTCCATTACAATGGGTTTTGATGATTAAATCATTCATATAGACAGTATATTTAGAAAGCTGCTTAAAAAGTTTCACACAAGGTGATATGTTATACAGAAGGATTCAACCTCTCCAATCATATTCCTGGAAAGCAACAAGCTATCAAGTTTTAAAGGAAAACCAAATATTTCTCGAGACTTGGAACTGTTAATTACTTGCTATCAACTAATTAATTCTACCCATAAATTGTTAAGTCGTTTAGATATGTGGGACAATAATCTGAGTACTCTTCAGCTCTCAGTGACCAGAGATCTCTTAAATAGATAATTGGCTTAATTTATAAATATCTTAAAAGTGTTTATAATCTATAGAACTGGATCTGTACTGAAGCTCTGCAGGATCAGAGTTGAAGACCATAACTATAAGACATTGATAACGGATTCTAAGGTTAAAGTAACATCAGTAGTACACATTTAAAAACCATAAATGGCCTTCATAATGTCAACTTAAGTTTGATTTATATACTGTATACTGAACAAATCCAATGCTGAATAAGTCATTTCTACAACTTTGTTATTACAGTGCTCAAACATTAACCTGCAAAGGCAGCCTCCTCTAAACAATACACTTCTGATCCAGCAGGCTTTTCTGAAAGTCCTCCCCTGAAACTGGCTATTCAATAGTACTTTCTACATGTTGTACGTCCCATATGAAAATCTAAAAAAAAGTCAAATTAAAAGGCTATGTGCTTGTATTTGAGCAATAACAAACTATTTGCAAGAAAATCTGGACTGTTTACTCTGAAAACTAACACTATACTGTACATTACACTGATACCATGTAGTTACAAAGTTACAATGAAGTAAATCTTTCTCTAAAGTTGTTAGGAAAAATAGATTTAATGAAACAAGTCATATTCGCTGTACAATAATATACACTATTTCTGAGTTAACCAAGAGTATTAAAACTGTGGCTCAGATTTTCAAGACTGTTACTCCAATCTTGAAATCTAGATTGCCTAAGCATCATGTGAAGCTTTCTCATCTGCAACTTGTTTCTGATCATTAAAAAAAACAGTTACAGTCTGAAACTGATTTGGAGACTGTTTTCTGATCCCCATGCATGATTTTTTCCTTTCTGTGCTACTCGTAGTGAGGTCCTATCTACTTTCTGAACAATACATCACATGTCCCAGCAGCTGTCACTTGATTCTGAAACTCATAACTAAAATTCAGTTCAAAACTTAAACAGAATCATGATATATGTGAAAATAAATTTAGCTTCAAAACGATACAAAAAAATAAACAAAATGTTACTGGATTTTTTAAACCATTTCTTCTGTCAGGACAAAATGTTTCTACTTTATTATATGTCCCTTAATGCTGCAATATTCCCTGAACAAATGAACATTGACAGACCTCATCGCTTTGTCAACAGAAACAAGCTCCAAATCAGCTTTCTCTCTACAAAAATCTTAGCATTGCAGTAACACCCTACCCAAAGCAGATCTGCCCAGCTGAATGTGCCATACACAGTGGGCATGTGACTGTATTTAGTCAGGGCTGTGCAGTCCTGAAAGGTTGGCGTGTCTGCAGGTCTTCTAGCGCTATTTAAAGAAGCTGAATCAGAAGAACTTGGGGAAGGTTTAAATTGATCCAATTAAGTGAGTAACCAGCTGATTTAGCTTATTAAAAACTGAGTGGGAATGAAAGCCAAGAGAGGCACCAGTCTTCCAGGACCAAGATCAGACAGCCCTACATTAGATGACTGCTTGAACCAGGAGGAGCGAATCAGCTAAGAAGCCATCTTACAGTGAGAGGAATTAAATGGGGAACTTGGGTTTGCACTCATCACAGGTGATCAAAGACAGTGGTTACTTGTGTTTGTTCTACCTGAGCCAGAGGTCTCTTATTATTTAAAAACTAATTAATTAACTCGACCCATTTTACCACCTCTTTGGGTTCCAGTTATTTCACGGGTCATGCACCTAGGAATCTAATGTAACATATTGAGTGACTCATGCCCCATGTCACCCCAGACTCCATGAGAAAGAGCCAGCTGCCTCAGAGTTAAACAGAGGTCCACTTAAAGGGCACAATCTGTATAATAGAGATCCCACAATTTATTTTCTTTTACTTTCAGAATTGTGTATCAGGTTTTTAACATGAGCTTAATAATAAGGTCATGATTACCAGAAGACAGGAAAGGTTTCTGACCTCAAAAACAGCAGACAATGTGTTGGAAATGTTTGAACCCTAACAGATCTTTCAACAACAATGACACAGAAAGTACTACAGTACAGTATGTAGGTTTTAGAGAAAAGAAAAGTCGTTTTTAGATAAAGTGCAAAATACATCAAATACCACATTATGAACTTTGTAACTCACCCAAAGTTGGAAGGAAAATACATTTCTAAAACATAAAAATCAACTTTGTGCACAATTATGTGCCTTTGATACACGATTAATAAAAAAACACATTAAACGAAAAGCATATATCTTTCCTTGTGGACAAAAAGAAGCATTCTAATTATTTTGTGTAACTGATGGATGAATGTTATCTTTTTATAGAGTTATTAACAACTGTTATCTGCTTTTGTATTGAGCTACCCAGACAAAAACTGCAACGAGACTGTTCTCCTCCAGAGAACTTCTGGCCAAGCTGAAAAAACAGATAATTCCTTCATGTTAATCTTTGAGATGTTGTAAAGGACAAGGATCTTCTTTGAAATTTTAAATTAGTTGCAAGCAATTAAGGAAGGTTTCTGGTACTTCCTAAAGGAATCTCTTTGTGGTACTTTTTCTTCATGCTGAGCTCTCACAAGTCTTCTTTGCCTCTCTCGTGTATGCAAAGAGGCCTTTAGAGCACCACAAAACACCAAGTTTGATTGAACAGACAACAGAGGGGAAGTCCAGAGAATTAGAACAAAAATCTTTCAAAGCATTCCGACGATAAAATCTGGGCTGATAAGCTTTTCAGACAATGATGGTCTTTTTCCACCCAAAGGAACTCAGTCTGAAAGAGTGTGGAAAAAATATGGACTGACAAAGACGGAACAAGAAATGCTTGGTTTCACCCGAAATCCCTTATGATCAGTGGTTTTACTTTCAAGAGTTCTTTCAAGACACTGGCCATAACATGGAGTTCCATGATTTACAGACTTTTCCTTTTGAAACACTATTTTTGCTTAATCCAGAAGGTAAAAAGAGATTAAAGCTGTAAATTCCAGGTTCATAGTGTCTCTGCAGTACTGTATATCCAGTACTCAGATTGCCATCTGCCTGAAAATGACATCAGAGTAATGTCAGCAAAAATTCTTCCTATGTCCCATCAAGCCATGATCATACATATATTCATAGGTCACCTTAGCCAAGTAACCCAATTAGCGATTCCCAGCAGGTCTGGTTAAGGTACCAGATTTGTCACATTCAGTAAATTACCTTTTAAAAGATTTAATCCTATTGCATTGGAATTCTGAAGACCACAAAAGTCTCTCTTCTGTAATTATGATGTGCCATCTAAGGTAGGAAAATATCTTTAAAAAATGCAGACAAGTGACTGATGACATATTCACAGGACTGAATAAGAGCTCGATTAAAAGACAGTCAGTGTCTTTCAGTGTTTATCCTTAAGTGTCAACACTTGAGTCCGTACCAGAGGGATAATTTACAGTTGGCCAAGAGAGAACAGATCCCGTGAAGTGTATGAGTTCTCTTTGCTCCTGGCAAGACCTGATTTTCCACAGTGCAGATGGAGGTACAGTAAGACTGATTGATTATCAGCAGAATACTGATACCTGTGGTGACTTATGTGGGAGAGATGGACAACAGCTCCCAGGCCTTTATGAGCAGGGATATCAATGAAGTAATTGTAAATTAGGTTCAAGGTACGTCTCTTAGTTATGTTCAGAAGGTCCATTGCTAAGTGGCAGCGATCCATTGGGCTCCACTAAGCTGTCAATGCCCAGGTATCCGAGCAGAATCTCACTGCGTCGTCGGGACAATCGCAAGATGTCATCAGCCAGTGACTGCGCAGTTGTGAAGCGAACTTTATCATGGTCAAACATATCCTTCAGGTATTGGACAATCTGTTGCTGTTAATGTGAGCAAAGGAACAAAAAAAAATTCATTTCTTTAAACAGAACATCAAATAAATATACCTTCTTCATTAATAAGCCGTTTTATCATTGAATCAACACAAAATAATTAAAACTATACAGCCTATCATGTGGCTTACCTTGAAGATACTGCACACCTCACTCAGGTGCTGTCTGGGACCCAGGAATCCAAATGCCAGAACTGGGCTCACATGCTCCGAGATGGAATAAAAGTGGGAAATGAAACCATCTGGTACCTAAAGAAAGAGGGAAAATTCCAAATTTAATTTTTCAAAGATCTTTCAATAACAGGCCCATAATCTATCATTGTGTGACTACAAGAGGCTGCATTTCTAAGACTAGGTGAACGTCCATAACTTCACAGTTCCACATATAGGATTTACTGGAAATTAATGAGCAGTTATTAAATGAGTGATGCCAGAGGAGAAAGATAATGAGATCCGTCATAACGTATTGTAATGTCGCTGCCTCAGTTGTAGTGAAGCAGCGTACGAGGGCTGTGTGACGAACCCGAGTACAGGGCAGAGCAGGCAAGCAATCAGGCACAGGCTGGCGTGGTGACAACAAACAGGCAAACACTGTCTGGAGTCATGATCAGAAACAAAGCAAAGGCCGTTGCCAAGTAGATCACAGTTCAAAGCACAAAAGGTAGACAAGGACAGAGCAAAGAGAGGGTCGAGAGAACAGGTAGGAACACGAAGCAAGGACCATGAGTATCACAGTGCTTCTACACAATAATTATCACCCATACTGTACCTTTGAAAGGTTTAGAGCTTGAAGAGTAATCTTTGATGCAAACAAGCTACATAAGTGATTTTCTCATCTTAAAGTAGAAAAAAAATGAGCTATGGCCTTGCTATAGATATATATTTTATAGTCTAATTAAGACGTAAAGACCAATTTGTATGGATGAACAGAATCCCAGTATAAGTAATGGTAATGATCCTGACTGTAAAGTAAGTTAGCAATCACCTTTGATCATAAAAACACAGCTCAGCACTGCACACACAAGCAAGCGGTTTTCAATTGCACTTACCATGAGCAGACGCCTTTTGGCTTTGAGAACAGACCAACAAGCTGTGGCCAGAGCCTGCAGAAGTAAAAATCATAGCCTGAAGATAATTCTCTACATATTTTTCACTGTATTACTGGCATTAAGGCTATCTGTGTTAAAGTTTGCCATTTTAAATATAACATGAAAAAACATATTACTGGGATTAAAAATATCAATCTTTTCTCATGTGCACTTAGAACACATTGAAAACACATGAAAGGAAAAGAAAATGTTCTAGATTCTAAAATATTAAGGAGCAAACTCAAACCTTAGAGCAGTCTCTTTTCCAAGAAACTGAGGATACTGAAGAAAGAAAGTTAGCAAAAAGGACAAAAGAAAAAAACAACAACAGAAATAAAAGGCCATGTAATGAAATGCAAACACAGAAATATGCCACTTATAAAATGTTTCTTTTTCCAAAAAGTCTTTTAAGACTTATCTACAAAACCCAGAATATTCAGAAACCTTTACTCAAAATATAGCGGAGCTGCTGACACGTGGGATTTATCATTATTATTTCAGTAGAATATTCCACAGACTTTCCAGTGTCTCCAATTCTTCACACCAGAGAGAGCTCACCGTCTCTTTGAAACTGTCCGAAAGCCAGCGATTACGTAGCACAGCCACTACAGATGACGGTGGGCTCTCCAAATCTTCGAAGGCATCCATCAAGATGAAGTCCAGCACAATGTCAAAGAAATTCATACACACCACCTGAGTGAGAGACAGGAATCAGGGGGTGGCCCAAACACTCAACTAACACCAGAAAGAAATTGGAGATGGTTATTTACTCATTCGTCTGAGGCTTTTGTCCAAAACAATTCACATTTGCACCCATTTATATACAGCCAAGCACTTTTTATTCTTTACTGGAAGAATTCCAATGCAGTACCTTGCTCACGGATACAACAGAAATGTCTCATTTGGGAATTGATCCCACAACCTTCCAGTCACATGTCCAGAACCCTAACCACTGCTTCACACCACTCACCCATTAACATTCATTTCCTCGCCCTGCACAGCAAGCTGTACTGGAACTTAAGTTAGCGGATGCAAACTTCTTACCACACATCTTTCAAAAAATAACTTTTTATGTTGATGATTAATTGGTGTGTTCTTTAATTTTAAATAACTAACTGTAAGTACCCTTTTAAGAGTAACATAAGCAAAATCCCCCTGCAAGTTATAGAAATCTGACCATTTGGGTCATACTAGAACAGAATTATCTGACTTTAGTAATTTTTAGGTACTGCATTCTGAAGACAGAAATGAACAGTCATTTCAAAATCCCACTTTATAGAATTCATTACCACTGTTGCCTCCTGGTAGAAAGATCTTAGCATCACGGGTAATGAATTTGTAACGGATTCCACAAAACAAGCACATTTTATAGTGACAGAACCACATTGCTGACATGTTGGTTTTCTTCCATTAGCACTGACATTAAAAACACTGGGATGCTCCTTGAATTTTAACAGCTCTGTGCTTTTATACCAGTATAAACGGATCACCATGTCAGCAGTAAGGCAAAGGGATTTTAGAAAGAGCCTCACTCCTCGTCCTTCTAGCTCCATCTTGGTTGTTGGCCAAGTCTCCTCCCTCTGTGTATAACGCAGCATTTCTTCATAGCTTTCCAGAAATCCCTTTGGACTCTGAAGGAGGAAAAGACCTTTAGTGTTTCAGTGCTAAATGTTGAATGTTTAAGTTGCCAAAATCTATGTAGATCTAGGAAGGCAATCCTGGTGCTATGCTATATACTGTATATAATGCAAAAGCATGCCAATTATAAAAGTGTTTTGGGACTTAACTACAAAACCCAAAATATTCAGAAACCTTTACTCAAAATATAGCGGAGCTGTTGACACATAATGGCCCCCGCAGGTCACCTACAGGAGATGCGTGCTGATCTCAAGCAGAAGTTGTAGTGCTTTTGGGCTTCCTCTGGTATGGGAAGCACTCCAAAAACGCAAGGATTTATTACGAATTATTTCATGAACGAAAACCAGCAACAAATTGAGGGTGCAATTCTTAAGATTTAAGAGGATGAAGACAATGCCTGCAGTACTAAATCTGTTTTTCTATACTGCCTTCTTTGTTGGCGAGAAAGCAGGCTTGACCGTAATACCGAAATGTGAACAATAAGGATACATGGTGCAGACAAGAGTTTATTTTCATCTCAACATTTACCAGTCAGGATGTGTTTACCCTGTGGTGGTCATGGTGAGCTTGCATCACCCTCAACGCAACATATAATCTGACATTCTTGCAGGTGCTTATTAAACACAGATTATGCCGACTGGGTTTCACAGCATGCTGAACAACCTATAGTTTGAACAAACTGCAGTATGTCCAAAATTCAGCAGCCAGGATCCTGACCAGGTCTAGTGCAAGTGATCACATTACTCCTATCCTGGAGTCCATGCACTGGCTTCCTGTCAAATTCCGTGTGGACTTTAAAATCCTCCTGTTCACCTATAAGGCTCTGCATGGCTTGGCACCTCAGTACCTGTCTGAACTATTATCGCCCTACTCCTCATCTCACAACCTTCGCTCTTCTAATTCTGGTCTCCTAACTGTCCCTCAAGGCCATCTACATGCGATGGGTGACGAGGCGTTCTCCTGTTATGCCCCCAAGCTCTCTGCCCAAGGATATCAAAACGTCACCTTCTCTAAACTCCTTCAAATGCAGACTCAAAACCTTCTTCTTTAGAAGAGCCTTTACTTAACTGGTTGTATTCTTCACCCCTCTGCTTTTCCTAGTACCACCATCCACGGTCTCCTTTGTATATTGTAATTGTGTTTTATCTTGTGTATTCTTTTTATTTATTGTTGTTCTCATTCTGCTTTGAGAAGCCACCTTTGAAGGCGCTATTTAAAATAAAGTTTATTATTATTATTATTATTAGTAGCAGTATTATAGCAACCACATGGCATCCAACCATGATTTAAGATTGAAGAGTTTCACCTTGTTAGCCTTGGCCATGAGCCCTGTAATCATCTGTTTCCCAATCTCACTGAAGAACACCTGCTGGTTTTCATCCAGCAATACCACCTGCAAAAGAGGGGTCACAGTAATGGCAACACATTTTTAAAGAGAAGGAAAGCAGAGTAAGCAGTACTGTTGCTACATACGCTGAGTTAACAGAGTGATGCGAGGAAGGCTGTGAGTATCGCCAGTGATATCCTAACATTCTGAAACAATATGAGCGTTATATCAAAACCGTACCTCAAAGGCCTGTCTCACACAGTGCAGCTTTGCCAAAAAATCTTGGTCACTGTAGCACTCTAAGAGCTCTGTTCTAGAAAAGAGAAAACAGGAGAGTAAACACAGAGCACATGTGGTAAGGCTGCAGATGTTCAGCGTCTCTCAGACTAGTCCTCAGACTAATCTAGACCTTGAGAACTGTGCTCAGAAGCATTCTTATACTTCTCTGTTACTAGCTCAATGCTAACAAGAAGAATGATTCTCATTTGGTTAACCTACTGCACCCACAAATACCAAAACAGTTTAGTTGTTGTTCACAGGAAGCCCCTAGATTCCACAATGAACTATGGTGTTATAGGAGACAGAAGCTTTGTGGTAAAAGTTTTTGACTCGGAGAAAGGATCAAAGAGCACTTGAACCCAGACGGACATCAGAAATAAGCATTCCCAGGTGTCAAGTCAGAGGTCAGATCAGAGAAGCTGGAAGATGACCAAAAACTGGTAGCAGGAATTCAGGTAAATGAGAAATTTATATAAGACGCAGAAAACTTGTATTCTATACCTCTGAGGCTCTAATGTGTGGTAAAACTTTGAGGTTCGAAGGTAGTTTGCTGGGAAGTAATCACTCCACGTAAAGACTGGGGGGTGAAAGGTGATTAATCTGCTTCTACAACAGCTATAGTGAATAATGGTCAATATTTCCAGTATTCCCATGTCTTGAGAGTTATCTTCCCCATGACAGACAATTACATGGGCATAGCAATCATACCACAGGTAAAATATTTCATCTTTAGAAGATCAAGGTATCGACAGTTGAGAATATTTAACCTGAGCTGTTTTATTGCTACAGAGATGCTCATTTACACACGTGTATTTACACGTGATGCGATCAGATTAATTGGAGAAAGCAATGATGCTTGGAATGGTCAGTGGAAGAAGAAGACGAGGCTGCCAAAGATCTAGGTGGCTCGATGCCATCAAAACGGACACTTTTAGGCTTAGGCATAGAACAGCTGAAAGGGAAAGTCCAAGACCGGAAAGTGTGACGAGAGATGGCCTATAGAATCATCGAGAGTCGGATCGGACTGACTGGATAACATCATTATCATTTACAAGTTGTGCCTGTATATGCATATACAGCCAGACCGATCTTTTTTCGTTTTAGCTATATGTATTAGTAGCATAAGGGTCAGTCCTGAAATGGACAATAAATAACCACTTTTAGTTTGTAAAAATGCAAGCCAAAAGATTACAGCAGGAATTGCTTCTAATTCCGCATAGGGCACCAGTACTCCAGCCTCTTCTCTCACCTTAGTGTTCTGCAGGACACCTTTCCCTCTTTCACAAGAGCCAGAGCCTCCTCATACAGCGCTGCCAACCTCGAGGGCCGGTATACTTCGTCAAAAGACATGGTATCAAAGAGCTGCAGGGATAGACAGTGGGCAGGGTCAGCCGAGAACCAGACTCACAGCAAGGACGGGTTCTGTCATGTCTAACATAGGCATGGAACAAATCTGAATGATTCTAACATGGAGGGTCATAAAATCAGTGCAGGGACTAATGTCCCAGTATCACTATATTAATATGAAATGAAAGACAAAAAAAGAAGGTGTGGGTATTATGGAATACATGTTTGAATTATTACATGACAACCTCTGACAACCTCAGCAAACACATACAAATTGACTTTTACAGCAGTTTGATTCATTCATGCTAAAGATCTCACAGAACCCACTTTTCTGAGATCTGCACAGATGACAACATTTCCATCTGCTGCACATCAACAGGAGAAAATGAGAAAAGCACACAAGGGAAAATGAAATACAGCCAGACTGTTAAATGTTAATGTTAGAAGGCGGAAGAAGGAAACTCACTTCGGCCGCTGAGAAGAAAGAGTCATCTGAGGTGATACTGGCGCCATCGTCCATGGGCAGCCTATGTGAACTCTCATTGGGCAGGATAAGTGTTCCCTCACTCTCTGTCAACCACAACCACAGGAATTGAGAGCGAACCTGAGCAAACTTCTTCTCTTCTTTTAACAGTTTGGCAGGGTCCAGAAATTGTCAAGCTTCACCCTCTTCGGGACGTGACTTACCAAAGTCAGGCAGCAGACTGTCTGGGGGGATGGTGCTCCCAAACTCCTCCTGGAGGTGATATGCTCGGTGAAGGAGGGTCTCCAGCTTTTCGGCAAACACATTGTTCCTTGGCTCGGACTGGGAAAAGGGGAAAATGGAGAAAAAAAAAACTCTGTCAAGTATGAAGGAGAAATGTTTTTCCTTCATGGATGCGCTTTCAGGAGAGGGAAACTCTGAAAAGGGGAGAGTGGCAGTAAAACAGGGGACAGAAGGAGACGGGTGGTAAACGGGGAGACAGTGGAGTGTCCCACAGAGCCCCATTTTCCAGCCAATCTCACCTTTTCTTTTGTCTTCTTCACCATGCCTCTTTCCCAGACTTTTTGCTCTCCCTCTCTCCCCTCTACACACTGAAAGAAGGCTCCGCAATCAAAACCTTGAGCGTTTCACTCCATCATTTTCTCCTAAGCATGGAATTCACCTCTGCTTTTTCCTTCTATACTTTCATGCAGTTCTCCTTTCTAACTACAACACAAAAGTACTGAAACAATCCTTTTACACTATACAAACACAATACAATTCCCAGGGCGAAACACTGCATTAAGGAAGCCCAATTATTTGATTCATGCTATCTGCAAGATGAGATCTGGCTGAGCTCCACTGGCAAAGCTCTGGGAGGACAAGAACTGGGAAGAAGAGCACCTCAGGCTTTTCTGCTGCTGATGCTCCCTGAAGGACCAGGCTACTGCTGCCTGTCGCCTCTGATCGGCGTCGGTGCCGAACGTTGAGGGCTAGCTCCCATTTCTGCAGGGCTTCCTCAAAGAGCTCCATCCCTGCAAGGAAAAAGGAAACGTAGGGTTGGCGCAGATCTGTGTGGACAAATCTTTTCTTTTCCAGCAGCTGAGGGCAGCTCAATGCCAAAGACTTACGATCAATGCCAGAAGGAACATGAAAAGTACATGCTCAAAAAGTCCTGCCTTGAGCATTCACACAGTGCACTGCATACGTTGTCCAATCCCTCAGACACTCACAAGCTCCCTCAAACTGATTTAGGCACATATCATGTTGTTATGAAATAAATCTGAAATCAATGCAGGTGAATATCAGCAGAGGAGGAAATGAAAGGGGATCAGTGTGGTGCCACACTATTTTTAGCTGGAGCCTATGAAGTTTGAATAAACAAGGTTTTCTGCTTCCAGACAAATCGACAACACAACTGCAGGATCCATATTAATTCCTATTAGATTCAGATGATCCTGTGTTGGTGCACCAAAGCTACTGAAAATAGCCAACACTTTTTCCCATTTGCTCTTAATAAACCGTGATGGTATGAGTAGAATTATAAGCTCTTGAGACACAACATTGTAACATTGAAACTTATCTCACTGCAGATAAATACAGAAATATTATTAAACATATTCTTACAATAGCACATTAAGTTCTTCCATATTTCCGCACACCAGGGGTCCTTGGCACAGAGCTGACTCCTTCTTACCCATGATGTAGAGATTCTCTGCATTGGAATCTTCCGCCATGCCAGACTCTTCCTCTACTGCCTCTGCTTCCCAAGGTGCTGCAGGGTTGGTTGCTTGGTTCGGCGAGGGCGGAATGCGCACCTGTGATCAAACATTTGTGAAGAAACAGCGACTGAGAAAAGACAACACTGGGATCCCTAAGCCCATGCATAGCCCATACCACATACGCCAATGCCAGCAAAGCCCTGTGCAATGGCAGCAGCATTTTCAAACACTGAATGGAGGCAGGCTCTTATTATGAGCACAGATTATTCCTTATATTGCGACAATTAAAGGATCTAGTTTCCTAACATCCTAAGGACCTCACAAAGTGAACAGGAATACTGTAGTGTGCTATTTAAATAGACATTCCCCACCTGAAGAAGGATCCACAGCCAAAACATTGTGTCTCTTTTCTTTTCAGCATGGAATAAACCTTTACTTGTTCCTTGACATGCTCCACACGCTGATTAACACTGCAATTGAGAGGTTTTCAAACAAGTGGGCTGCTCTACACTTCCCACACTTAAGGACATTCGCCTTTTTGATGCACTGTTCACCCAGATAATACTCTATAGCACTCCAGTTTCTCCTCGCACTGACGTTTCTGTAAGCCCAAAGTCACCGGTTCACTGAGTGAACTCTCTCTGGTAGCTCTATTCCAGCAGTGCAGGTCTGTTCGAGGGACTCCCGGTCACAGGCTGTTAGTGACATGATCCAGGCTGGAAACACAGGTGGCAGGGCCACATAGTTCAACCCACACTCAGGAAGCATGCCATCACTGGCACCATTACCACCTTTTGCCTGAGCTCATGGGGTCTCAGGAGCTAAGTACTGACCTAAGCCTGATCAGTACTGAGATGGTAGACCTATAAACAAATTCAGGTTGCTGTTATATACAGTGTTGGTAGACCACAAGGTGGTGCTCCTGCCTCTGTACAAGAATGTGCAAACCAATGTCCAAGCATGGTGACCAGGAAAGCTGTTCTGTGGATGCGGTGCTAAATCAAGGTTCCCACCACTTTGTCACTAAGGATCCCGTGGCACTAATAAGAAAAGGGGTGTTAATCCTCTTGTCCTGGCAAAACGTCCTTCCTAAATTATCCCCTTAATATAACCGCTGATGTAGATTCTGCACCTTACTATATCTGCTGTGTAGTGAAGATGCACAATGTCCACAATGTGACCTAGGTAAGTCCTGCACTTCAAAGAGGCTCCCTTTCAAGAAGTAAAGAGCTTGGGAATCTTTTGGGAATGGAACGCAGGGCACAAATACGAACAATTAGCGTTATTTATGAATGAAGCTGCCCTCTCCAAGAGGAATGTGCTCATCCTGTGAAAGAAACTGCCCCTTATCCCAGCAGGGTGGCTGGCGCCTGGGACAGCCCTGTGTCCAGTCTTACCGAGGCCAGGCTGTGTGAGGAGCTGGAATGCTTGCTAGGAGCAATAGAGGAGATGCCACTCAGGGTGTCATTACTGCGGCTGCTGGGGCTCGTTACCCTCCGGCCAGGGTACGGGGCTGACAACGACAAAGCACAAGGGCATTTATTGTTATCATCAGTGTGGGTCGCGTGTCCCTAACTCATGCGATTTCCATCTGTGAATCCTCCACCAGTGCAATCACGTCGAAATGCTTGGGGATTATTTCGGCAATCAAATCTGCTATGTCTGATTCCATAGATCCCACAAGCAATTCAATTCTAGTACTTTTAAATCTCCCAGTAGTTAGCCCAGCCCCCTTTCCCTGTCTTTTCTTTTCCTTCTCCACTATGAACAGAAGAGGCCCTCCTGATGGTCTCTGCAGAGACCTGGCAGGACTGGACCGGACCTGGAGCACTCTGGAAGTACACCTTACTCTTCCAAGTACAATTTTAATATAATTGCTCATTAAACCATTTGATGTAAATTCTATGCTTTTTAGCTACTTTTTATATTCTAACCTAATGGTTGCCTATTTTATTGTTTTCCCTAGCTGTATATAGAAAAGCAATGCATCAGCATAAACACCTATATCCTTTTCATGGGTAAATTATCCATGCTTATATCCCCCACCTTGCATTTATGCAGTGATACTTTATTCACCACTATTACAGAGTGCATCTGGCACTGAAAACAAGTTAAAAGC